AGTTACATACTGCAGCTTTAATATAGCTTGGATTTTGAGAAAATATAGTTTTACAAAAAACGCGGTTGTCATGCTCGTTTGTTTCCTGTCGGTGTGGTGTGATGTTTGCAGATTGACTCTGAACTTGCTGCAGTGGCTGGAAAAATATGGTTGGGTTCTACCTTTGCCAGATGGTGGTGTGGACTGTGCCGCCGTGTACTACCCTGCAGAGGCAGTGAAAGCGCTCCCTTTGACTATAATGGGTACATAATTACTGCGGAGTCCGTTCGGTGGCGGAACGGAGACGCAAGCGATGTAAATTGGAGGTTATGTAACACAGGTCGTATTGTTATCAAGTGCAGGTAGTAAAGGCTGCAGCTGTCCTGAGTGCCTCGCCGTTGTATAGTAGTGCTGCTTTGCCAACTAGACATTTTTGCGCTGGAGTGTTTTCATGGTAATATGATGTTTTGTTTTCCTGTCAAAGTGGAAAAAGTCTCCTGAACTTTTATCCCTGGCTTCCTTGGCTGATAGTGTCACAGGACAACGGGGTCAGTGAGTGCAGAACACTGTACATTGGCTTTTTAAATTCATTTTTCTCCCTGTGTGGGATGTGGGGGCAGAGGGCAGCTGTCAGCTTTTGCAACCCTTGTGCACTGCAAAAAAAAAAAAAAAAAAAAAAAAACATTTCCAATCCTTTATCCAAAACGCTAATGAGAAGCACACAGCGGAGGAAAGGGAGATAGTTGGATGAATGTTGAGGTCATGGCTGTGTGAATGCTTGAAGGAGGAAGTCTGTGATAGATCACAGAGGAAGGAAAACAGACGTCTACCTCTCAGCATCCTTACCCTGCAGTGACCTGGAAATGCATCTGAGAAGACCTGCATACATATCCGTCCTTCAGCATTCCTCAGGAGAACTAAGTAAAGCCACATAAATAGAGGCAGACCAAAAGACAGGCTCTAAAAAAAAAAAAAAAAAACACCATCGCAGATGAGAATAGCAAATCTGTGATAGCATATGTAGAGACAGTTATTGTTGAACTAATCAGCCGTGGCTCAGACAGGAAATGATAAGTTACACACGTGACTCTATTTGTGGTTGAGAGAGAGTAAATGTATGAGTAATCACTAAAAGCATTTTACACAGGTTACTAAACACACACTGGGAAAGTCAGCTACTTATAGCACAAGCACATAATAAACAACTTTAAATTAGATCCAACAGAGAAACTTGGCTGGAAATAAATCCGTGTGAGTGTTTTATGCTGTTTTTTTTCTTATTAATCTCATCTGTGCTCTGGATCACATCTCAGAGCTATGCAAAGAGCCTCCACAGAAGAGGCTGCTGTCTGAAGCCTGGCTTTTACGCCTGAGCATTGACACTGAACACTGAATGAGCTCTACTATTGGTTGTGTGTAGAAGCTACAACTTTCTCCACCATGTCTTCACGCTGTTCTTGCCAAGACCAATATGGCTTATTCATTGTTTGGAATTGACAAAGGGTGAACGGTTAATGTGACGCTGCTGGGTCCAGATGTTGGTTTGGAAGGGATGTTTTGCGCAGTTTTATGCAGCACAATGTGTTTGTCCTTTCTTAAGAGTCGAGACTGCTTGCTGACAATAGGAAGTTTTTTTTAGTTTTTTTTTAGTTTACTCGACCAGTCAGCTGTGGATTATGTGGCTAAACCTGCTTATTTTATTCACAAAGGTTCAATCAGTTAATTTTGAAAACAGTTATCCTTCTGCTATTAGATCCTGAGTTTACACTTGGTTTTGTTTTCTAAATTTTTACCTGTCAAACTTTACTGCAAACATTTGTGCTATTTTATTCACGTGTTGCTGTCAGGTGTGTTCCTACTAGTGCAACATCATATTGCTAGGAGTGTGAGTTTTTTTAGTCAGTTGCTACAGTTTGAAATGTATTGTATCGATTGTCAAAGAAAAGCCTTGCGTCAGTTTTGTGAAGATAAAATGATGTTGGAAGCTGGAAGAAAGCACAACTCATTTGAAAAGTGTAGGCTTCAGAGCCTCTGTGTGATTTATTTTTATTGATACACCAGTTTTGGATGGGATGCTCTTCCGTGCAGAGCAATCAGTTTTATGATAAACTTTAACAAAAAATCCCAATCTACTGCAAAGATGAAAGAATAAACAGATGGTGGAAGTGCAGAAACCCACCATTGACAGAGAAAAATCATAGGCAGCAGATATAATACCCTTTGGCAGCAGCACTGTGGTTTGACAGCTATGAAAGTGGTAGGGAAAAACCTATTTTACAAGCACAGAGAGTCAAGTGGCACCATATTTTTTTCCTTTACATAGGACTTTCAATCCTGTGACGTTCATAAGGTCACAAAGGTTCTTGAGACCATGAGGATGTCTTAACGCGGTGCAGAGACAGACTGGCTAACACGACGGGCTGCATGAGAGCGTACAGTACAAATTTATCTCACATATTTCATAAGTTGTCTTACAAATCCTAGAAATCCATTTTGTTGTTTTGCCCAGGAGGACCTTCTAAGACAGATTTTAATTAATAGTGCAATCCACTGTCTAAATGTTCCAAATAAACTTTACAAAATTGTCTGCTGGCCAAGAATCTGCTTCGAGTAGAGCTCAAAAGATGCAGCTGCAGACTTTAACAAGCACAGGATCTTTTTTTTTTTCTTCTGCCACATCGATTTCTGCAGGCTTTTGTTTATTACCCACGTGTTTTTGCTTTGATTTTAGTGTTAGCTTTTCAACAAACTTCTTGCATAAGTGGGGGGTGGGGGTTTATCCAGTCGTACACAAACACAGCACACATAAATAAAAGTTGTTTTTAATTACGCTGTGTGAAGATACTTAAAACATTCTAACACGCTGATATTTGTTTCCTTGCAGGGGAATCCACGTATCTGAATGACCACGGACCACCGGCTCAGAGAGTAAGTCCTTATCTGGTACAAACGATTGCTATCCCTTGATCTTTCTTTCCCCCTCCTCCCCGAGCCACCTATCTCTGATATGTTACCCTGCAGTTGAATCCAGCTAAGTCAAGGAAGGTGAGGGGTTAGGTTTGTGTGAAGGAGTTGCATGCGAACTCCATAAATACCAGTGGGACCTGCCTTCACAGCTACAGTAATGCTTTGAATGCACTGACACAAACACCGAGGGAGAGGCTGACACAGGGGCCTTGTATCCATCCAGCTGCATGTCTGCAGGACTGTCTTTCCTCTGAGCCCCCTCTTTCTCTCTTTGCCAACTGCCTTCTCGTGCCATCTGACCCTTGTTTATTGACAGCATCTTTAATCAGTCGCTCCATTTTTACCTCATTTTGTTCCAGTACAATCTCTTTCTTTTACTCCGTTCTTCATGCTTGATTGGGGTTGCTGTTTAGGGGGTGCAATGTTGAAAATCATTAACTGAAGACAGTAATGAGGTTTTGTTTGTAGCTGCTGAAACCAGCTGTTGCTTTTATTTTAGATCACATCTGGGTTTTATGTTTCAGTACGTGTTTTAAAAACCTGCTTTGCATTCAGACGAGCCAATCAACCACATCCCTTGTGTCATGCAGCCGCATACACTCGGAAAAGTGTTATTTGTTAAGCAAACTAATGGAATACGGCGGAGATGGGGATTTGATGCTTTCTTATCATTTGAAACAAGCAATTTACAATTGTGAAATTCACATGCGTTTGTAGGATTCAGACCAATCTATAAAATGCATGTTTTATAAAGCCAAAATTATTTTGAAGAGATTTTAAAGTAAAAGCTCAACTTGAGGCGTCTGACTATATTATTCATGACAATCATTGAAACACAGAAGCCGATCTGTGTTGAGCTATCAAAGAAAATTGTGATTTTGTTTTTTCACAATGTTTCTGAAACCAGATGAGAGTTGTTCCGAAAAATAATTCCTTTGTCTTTCCAGTCAAAGACTTCGATTAAGTGATGACGGCCAGCCGAGTGGGCATATTTTATGACTGTGGGAAGAAACTAGTGTTTGGGTTTAATGCTTTTTCTTTTAAGTGAGTAAAGAACAAGATTATTTTTAACAATAACAACAAACTGGCAAATAAATACATCAATGAAATCTCTAAGACGCCGCCACAGGAGGCTAATTGCACCGGAGTGGAGTGTTCTTCTTTATATGTCTCTGTCAAACCTAAAATGAAGTTGCAAGCCCCCCAGAGTACGCAGTGAAACAATTCCATATCTAGTGATAGCATGAAAGCCTGCAGAAACAAAAATCCTGTCCACTGTTTGAACTTCTTGCTGAATGCAGCCTCACTATTGAGATTTTGGAAAAAAAAAAGTTATCGCGTAATAAAATCCAATTTTTAAACTTGCACTCACTGATTCACTTAGGCATTTTTCTAAGAACGTATCCCTGCATTAGGTTGAGCCTATGACTTTACTTTGACTTGAAATGAGAGCGCAGACATTACCACAATACATACATCTTCCAGATGCACAGACTTGATTGACAGTTGTTCCAAAATAGCTGCATGCCATTGACCGACTGATTCCTCCTACCCTTTGCTATCCCCAGAGAGACATTAATGGTGGCCCGCTGGTGGCGCGTGGTACATTAACCACATCTCTCATTATCCTTTTGTTGACATGCCCTCATGCAGTTGGAGCTGATCGGGAGTGTCGACAGCGGCCTGATGTCGGAGAGCATGTGCGACCAGAAAGAAGGCTGTGGTTCTGGTTAATGTGGGGAAAGATTCAAAATCGAGATGAAAGTCCAATGTAAATGAGAGCATATGGAAAAACCACACTTCATCCAGAATAGCGCTATAAGGCTTTTTGTGTGTGGCCATGTTCCTTGAATGTCCAATCTACAATTTTGTGGATGTTTGCATGCATATATTTTCACTTTTTTTTTACCTTTCGAGAAAAATATATTGTTAGTGTTAAAACAAACCTTTCTGATTACGTTTTATTCTGACATTGAGTTGTTTTCTCAGGCAATTACATCAATAACTGCTAAATTACCTGTTGATGCTGAGACACAAGAACTGCTAAGAACTGCCAAAGCTACAGACACTCTGCCTTTCTTGTTCTGCTTTCTGTAAAAACAGGAAATGCTTTGAATTTCCACTCTTCCCACAGCTGTAACCTAAACATGCAGTTCTTCCCTTGGCTCACAGTGGAAGAAAACTGACCCCAGATCAGGTCTAGCTAAAATATGCAGAGACTCACTTTTCGCTCTCAGGCGGCTTTGTATCAGTAACAGCTGCTATGGATTTCCAGGGAAAGTGGTTATGATACGGGGGTCAGTGAGCCGTCTTTCTTTGCCCAAACAGCGTGACATGTGACAATGTTTCAAAAAAACCCCAAAGTTACTTGGATCTTTGAGTGTAGATGTGTAAACAGGGCTCTAATTTTAGAAAAGTGAAGACAAAAGAAAGGGTACGACAGTAAGATCTCTGGAAAGACTACTCCTCTTCCCGAAAATCTGCATATGGTTAGCTGAAACACGTTACCACAACAAAAGTCAGACTGGAATAAATCTCATCAGATGCAAAATCAAAAACAGCCTTGTTATATTTTACTTTTTGATTTCCCTAAATACACCAGAAACTGAATATCTTCCTTTCAGCAGATATTTCTCAAAGCATGTTCTAGGAAAACTACACCTTGAAGAACAGGAACAATGACTCACAAATAGAAAAATTGCCCTCCTTTTGTCTGTTGTCAGTGTTGACAGGAGATTTGCTCTTTTCATAGAGTCCCTGGTTGTTCTTCCAGCATTACACACGTTTGAAGCAGTCATTTGTGGTAATATCTGCAGGGAATGATGTCTTGCAAAACACTGCATGTGTTTTACCAGCCTTAAGCTTAGATGTCTGTTGTCATTTGGCAAACACAGAGGAATGTTGTGTGTGATCTCCAGGGAAACTGTCTCTGAGCTGATTTCCCAAAACTAGTCTACCTACAGCTATCGCACTTAGAAACTGTAAGAACAAAGCATCTCCTTGCTACAGTTGGTCAGAAAGAGTTTTGTCAACATATATGCTGGCACAAGTCTGCAAGGAATATTTTCTTTAATTTGGGAAGGCTTGTCTGAGAGTAGCTTTTGGAAACGTGGGGGAACAAAAAAACATAACATGAAAAAAAGGTGTTAAAAAATATCATCGTCTTAAGATTTTGTCCTTTCATGTAATTTCATAGTGTTGATTGGATTAAACCAGAATGGGGGCCTTGCTGAGCTGTTCAATTTTACATTTGAACAAGATGAGAAAGAAAAACAATATGTGTTTTGTTTTTTGTTTTTTTGCCACTGTAGCTTAAGTAATTGTTTGTTGTTTGATTCAACCCATAAAACTACATGGTTACTTTACAAGCTCTATGAACCCACATATATTTGATTGGAATGATCAGCTTTTAAATGAGGAAGAGAATAAAAGGAAATAATTTCAACCTGCATTATGCTGAATTGTCAACTTTTGCTAATTCTTTGAGAAGCTCAGTCTTTTTTTTTTAAATCTCCTATAAATCTTTTTATTTTTCAAACATATATTTCTCATTCTGTCTTTAAAAATGATTAATCAGCTTGCAAAGCTGTAATTTGAAGTCTAGGTATTTGTTTAACTAGTGCATTTGGGCTTAAAGATGGCATGTTTGACATGTCTTTGTTAAGGCAGAAGTAACAAAGCTTTTTTTAAATTTATGAATCATAACTGAACTGCTTTTTATTACTGGTGAGTCATGATGTGTGTGCGTGCTTGCTGTAGCTTGTGAGTGTGAGACGAAAAAGAAAACTGTCAGTTTTGTTTTGCTGTGCAGTTTCTGACTCACCGAGTTCAAGGAAAGAAAGAACATATGAATAAGACAGAAGAAGAAACCTTTGCCTCTGTGCACTGCTGTAGCTTAAATGCAGTGTGTTGCAACTTTGGCCGAGTCTCTAAACTTTTTACATCAATAGATTTTTTTCCCCACATGGCTGGCTACTCAAAGACATCTGCAATTACTAATTACAACATAGTGGTCGCACATTTAAACAGCAAAAGATGCTTACATAAAATACGGAAATGTTATTGAATAATGCAATGATTTGTTTGTTCTTCTCTCTCTGTGCCTTTGTTTTCCTGTGTGTGTCTACAGGCGCTCCCGTTTCCCAGCCAGGTGATTTATAACCGTGTGGGGAAGTGCGGCAGCCGGACAGTGGTCATCTTACTGAGGCTTTTGGCTGAAAAGCATAAGTTCAACCTCGTCTCTTCTGACATCCATAATAAGACACGTCTCATGAAACAAGAACAGGTGAGAGATGTGAAGGAGAACATTTATAACAAGATATTAAATCCCCAGCCCGTACACTAATAATTGGTGTACTTGTTTGCATAAAAAGCCTCTAAATTTATCCTGTGCTTTATCTCCAATTTAGAAGGGGAGGTTTATACTTTCATCAGCAAATTATTTAAGCGATTTCAGTGTAAAATAGTTTGTTTTTTTTTCACTTGTATTTATTAAAAAAACACATGGTGATCGGAAGGGATTGGGTTTTTTTTTCCCGCTAGAAACTGCATCATAAGCAGCTTTTATTAACACTATTTGTTAATTCGAGTCATATTACCAGATGTTGACCCAGACGTTTTAGCTTTAGAAGAAAACTGAATTATCCCCATGTGATTTCCAGTTAAATGTTTTCAGCATTCTGCTTCTAACTTGTGTGCAATGCGCTCTTGAGAAATCCATATGAGAAAAAAAAAAAAAGCTTACTCACGTATTCATGGGGGACTGATGTAGCACTGACTCATAGCCATGATGCTACTGGTTGCCTTATTCATGAAAAAGGTTACAGTTAGATTCAGATGATTCTAATTATATAAAGCAATTACTGACTGATTTGGTGTAAATGTTAAGCTAATATTGGAACAGTGACTTGTTTACGTATTTGTCAAACTCTAAATTCCTCTTGCGCATGTTGTGTCCTAACACCATTAGGCTGATTAGGCTTCTGCACAGAAAACATCTCAGTGAACGGTCCAGAAGAGTGTGAATATTCTCATGTCATAACAAGCCTGTTTGGTGCTTGTGTGCAATCCTATAAAAGCCACCTTAATCTCTTGTGTTTATGTGCCCGAGTACTTTAGTGCATGTTGACTTATGCAAACGCAGATGCACATTGCCCTGACTTTAGAGCTCGTACTCTCATCAGCTGAGGTTCCGGCTCATCGGTGCAGCTTTTGACGGTTTTCCTGGTGACACTTTGATCAGAATGTTAACCATTGTGTCTGCGGTCGATGATTTTTGCATGAAAGTAGCTAATTTATTTTTGCACTTTCACATCTCCTTTTCGTATGCTGTAAAGAGATTATTGACGTCTTCTTGGTTCCCAGGGCGCAGAAAAGTAGACAAATTTCCTGGAAGGAATGGAAAACAAAAAAAAAGGCTCAAAATGAAGCAACTAGGAAGAGCCAGCTGTTTTGAATTAATGTCAAAGCTGGTTTTCTTCTTTTGAATAATCGGTAAATTTGTGCTCTGCAGGCATCGGGGGAACCAGATCCTCAGAGTAGGAACTGGATGTTGCTTGTTTACTGATAATTGGATAACACATGTCACAATGCATGTCAGGACATTGAATTATTTTTAACATGTTTAAAACTAAATTGTATGGGAGTGTGTTCCTTCAGTGCAGCCCCTTACAAAAGTATTCACACTCTTTGAACGTTTTAATATGTGGGACTTTATGTAACCTGGCAGGAAGTTGTGGATAATTAGAAATTGAAAAATGTTGCATTGTTTTTAAATGTGTTACAAATAAAAATCTGAAAGGTGTTGCATGCATTTGTATTAAGGAGTTGCACACAAGAAGCAATCCTTACAGATTTTCACAAGCCATGAAGGGGGTACAGCAAACATTTCAAAGATGAACTGATCCAATAAAACCAACTCTGTACTTTTTACCCCAAAAAACTTGAGACTTGACTAGCAGCATGTTTATCTGCACTTGAGCTACTTCTCAAATAATACACAACAGTTTGAAAAAACCTTGTTAATATCTAAAAATAGTGAAAATAAATGTACAATAGGTCTTTAACTGTTGTGTGGAGATTGAGTTATGGGAAAGAAAGAGCAGCAGTCAAAACTTTGTAATTTTATACTTTTCTGTTCCTCTGATGAGCCCCGTGAAGATACCGCTGGTCTTCAATTAGGAGGGGGAAGTGCAGGTATGCCTGGAATCCTTCACTTTCTCCCTTCAGCCTTTCCTGGGGAATTAGAGGAGGGAGTGCTGGACACACGCACAGACACACAGACTAGGGGGTTGGCCAGCAAACAGACACGGAGACATACTTGCACATTTTCTTACTAAATGTTCCCCAAGGCACTCTGTGTCAACTCTGAGATGAAGGAAGAGGTTTAATAAAAAGTCATAAACATTTTTCTTTTTTTTGTGTGTGTCTATTAAAAGCAACACAATATGTTAAAGTATTGATCACGGGGGTGGGTAGATGCAGAAAAAATATATACTACAGCACTAATGAAGGCTTTATATTATGTTTTATGGCACATGAAATCCATAAAGCGTGGAAACGGGGTTAGTGGAAATGTACTGGCTTCATAGAAAAGAGGGAGAGTGTGAAGCCTGAATCTGACTGGAGCCTCTGAATGACTGCCTTGGGTACATAAACAAGTATACATATTGCTGTTGCTATCCAAATAGTGTTGCCATGACATAACAAGTGTCTGTATAAGAACAGAAAATGCAAACAGTTCTCCAGCCGACCCGCTCTCGTTTAACACGGAGTTTTGTGTAAAAGTTGAAAAATGTTCTTTGGAGAGAGATTTGATGAAGAAAGGAAGTGTGGCTGTGTCGCAAAGAGAGAGAACCAAAAGTATAACTTTTAACACTCTGTGGGTTACGAGCCCAAGCGTCGACGTATTTCGTTTGAAATTTATCTGACAGACCAAATCAAATTGGCACATATACGAAGGTAGAAGGAGAAAATAATGCAGTTTTAACATTCTTATTGCAATTAAAAATATAGAAACATATATTTAGTTGATTTTACTTTATCCTGACAAAAAAAAAATCTAATGAAGGTAGCTGCCTTCAGAGACAAATCATCCAGTAATTATGGTGCTTTTTTTGTATAATCTAACGCATGTAAAAAAAAATTACAGTTGTTTTGTAAGGCCTTCAGTGGTGTCGGACCTGTCAGAGAGAATAATTCAACCAGTGCGTCCTTCCTTCACACTCAGCTTGCTGCTGCCTGTCTCCTCTTAAGCAGCTACACTTGTTCTTACGTGGAGCTCCTAGGCCTGTTCCAGAGGAATGCTTTGTTGAAAGTCTTCTAGTTCAGTGACCGGCCACATCCTGTTGCTCTCCTTACTTTCCTGTTGAAGCCAAAATACTAAGAAAGATTTGTCAACTTAACAAGTAATACCCTGGAGTCATGTCGTGTTCATTTCTTGACCATTTCCATCGCGCTGCCGCGATGCATAATTCATAAAAGCAGGTGTTGCATTATGGCAGGAAATCAGGCTAAGAATTTAGACGACATACCACATGTAGATAATGCACATCTGATCTAAACGCTCGTTCTTTTAGGGAAAATGTCAAGCTTTCCTTTCGCTGAGTGACCCCTAACATGCTGCTCAAGCTTTTATTGCCCCAGTATTGGATCGCTACAATCCATTATGTGTTGGCATGGGCCAGGTGGAGTTGATTCAGAAAGCTGCAGCCAGATTTCTGAGTGGTGCACATAAACAGAAACATGTTACACCATTTTTGGCAACATAACACTGGGTTCCTGTCTGAAGCGCAATTTACCATGAAATTCTGCTACTCAAATGCAAAGAGCACCAACTTTCATGTCAAACCTGCTGCTTTTCATACGCCCTGCTTGCAGGTGTGTCCAGATTCGTGTCCAGGGCTACTTTTCGAAGAATTGCCCTTCTAAATATCATCACAATCTGTATTTTAAACGGTTTCAGTGCTATTATCTATATTGGAAAGATTGTTAAGAATGGGTCACCATATCGTAATTTTAAGCAGGGAATTTGTATTCTTCCCTTAAGTATTTTTATTTTTTTTATTTTATAATAAGCTGACTTAAGTCTGGCTTCAGATAACATCTGAAGGGCATCAGTATTTCCCGAGATTCTAGGCAATAAGGCAACCGGTTCCAATTGTAGTTGGTATTTAAATTGCCCCTGAATTTCACAACTGAAAGGAAAAAACAATTCTTCTAAGCATTTCCCCTTTCTTCAATCAAATACAATGCATTCCCTGTTTTGCAGAGAAGCACCTTTTGCTGCATATTGTGCTGCATTACTCCAATATGGAACTATTTAGGTGAGGAATGACTTCATATTTGGATTCATTTTCACAGACCTCAGTCCAAGATCCCTGAATCTGGTGCGTTCTGGCTGCTTCTTGCAAATTTCTCCAAGCAAACCTGGAAAGCCCCAAGGGTTCTTCTTTTGTCGTGTGAATAACACAAGACAGAAAATATGTGAGAAGCATATTGCAAAAGAATCAGGACGTTATGATTGTTTCACTAGTATGAAATTAGTTTGAATGTAACAACTTGTGTCAGGTAAACCGATGCTAGGTTTTTGACTCAGTTACTTAGTCTTGTTAAAAACACCACGGCAAAGATTAGTTTATTTCCGTTTTGAGTGTTAATGACTAGTGGAAATCCCCAGAATGTTTTGTAAAATTACTATTGCTCATTTTAGAACACCTGTAGAAGAGTGTAGCTATATTAGTTTATCTATTTAACTGTACATAAATACACCTGCAACTCCATCCATCCATCCATCCATTTTCTGAACACCCTTGTCCCTCAGTGGGGTCGGGAGGGGTGCTGGTGCCTATCTCCAGCTAACGTTCCGGGCGAGAGGCGGGGTCGCCTGCAACTCACACAATAAAAGTCAAAATCTCTCAAAGCATGACCACCTGCCATAATTCTTTTTATAGGTGCCAGCTTAATCAGCTTCATTTCTGTGGCCTTTCGTGATACCAAATAAATCAAAATAGCTGTTTCCTCTGTGTGAATAAAACATTTATTTTGGCAAATACCTCAGTGGAAATTCACATTTAATTATGCGGATTAGTTTTAGGACTTTATTCGTTGCCGTCTACACAAGGAAGTCAACTTATTTTGTTTTAAAATAGATTTGGTAATTTCATAAAATATTTTTTTGGGAAAATGGCAAAACAAGATCCACATCCTAGTCTTCAGTGTATATCTGATTTTATTTATATCTACCCCTTTTGGCATTCTTAATAAACATCAGAACAATTAATATTTTGCATGTGTCCTACTTTTTTTGTGTCTTTCAAACTTATCTGGCTCTCAAAAAAGAAAAGGAATTTAAAAGGGAAAAGGAGTTGTACAAACTTTGTTGTAAGAAAAATAAATAAATAAATGAATAACTGTGTGTGTGTGTGTGTGTGTGTGTGTGTGTGTGCGTGTGTGTGTGTGTGTGTGTGTGTGGCTCTTGGGCAGGTGGATCTAGTGAAAAACATCAGTAAGATCCCTCAGCCATTTCTCTACACAAGACATGTTCACTTCATGAATTTCACCAGGTACAGTGGAGCAGCAACAGAATAAAAAGCTAACCAACATTGTTTATTAACACTTCTTGGCTAATATGCAGTATTCAAGATATTAGTTTTTTTTTTCTTCTTCTTCTTCTTTTTTTCAGGTTCAGGATAGAGCAGCCTGTCTACATCAACATAATCCGGGATCCCATAAGCCGGTTCCTCTCCAACTATTTCTTCCGTCGCTTTGGTGATTGGAGAGGGGAGCAGAACCACCTCATCCGAACACCAGGGATGAAAGATGATGAGCGATACCTAGTGAGTACTTTGGTTTCAGCAGTCGGGACTTCAAAATCATTTCAGCTTAAGCTGCACTACAAAGTTCGCTTAACTGATTTTTTTTTTTTTTTAAATCTCAATTCTTGTAAGGTTTAGTGCACATTTGATTATGCTAAAAAAAATGTGAGAGAAAACAATCCTGTCTGATTAATGGATATGGAGTTTTATGCTTTCTGAAGTCGAAATGTTTTTGTGTCTCACCAGTCTTAGCTAAATGCTCGACCCCGTCTAAGGTTCACAGCCAGGTTTGGCTTCTAAAACAGTCAGCTTCTGTGAATAATGAGGACGCTTCCTTTTGACAGATGGAGAGTCAGTGCTAGTTAGTGTTTTCCTGCATGTGATTTCATGTCCTCAGATGTGGAAATATATCCGTCGCTGCCACTGCTGCAGGCTGATGAGGTTTAAGCAAACCTCGGTGACTGACGCTGTTTCTGCACTTCCTACCTGACCAACTTTCTGTCATGTTCTCTTTGATGGTGGATGTTTGATTGAGAGATGCGGCTCATTTTTCTTGATTGTGTGGAGTTTACCTTCGTCTGGCAACTGCTTTTTACAGGTCCTTTGCTTTTCTTGGGTTTGCCTCCAAACCTTGTGTTTAATGTCACCTCACAAGTTTCTTTAAGGTGATTTTAGCTAAACACGTCTTTATGACTTAACCTCTTTAATTTATGTCTAAATCAAAGCGCACTTCATTTCTGAAGGCTGTCTGGAACGGCCCATTTTACTGATTTTAGTACAACCAAATATAAAGCATATTGCTACTTTAGTTTTTAAATGAAAACCATGTGTTTAATTAAAGCCTATTTTTCCACAGAATAAATGACGTCCCTGACTGAACTCCATGCTGCTTCAATTTATAACCCCTTTCAAATTAATGAAATAATTAACAACAGAAAATTAGCAGCAGGTGGGGTTGTTTTGTGATAATTTCTTTTCTACTATGCCCACTAGGAAATGAAAGGCTTTGTGGAAATATGATTCGCCGTAACGGTAATAAAACTGCACAACTTATTTGCAAAACACTAAACTGGAGCCTTTGAGGAGAGAGCTGACTTTCTTATCATTTTTGTTTTAATCCCACATTTTCTGTTGGTTTTTCTAAGGAATCTATTTTTAGTCACATCTAATGAGCCAAGCCAGAACTGTATCTCGCAGCATTCCTTCTCTCTTTCTGCCATTTATCCCGGTCCCAGTTTCCACAAGCCCATTAACTCTCCTATTGACATTGGCGAGATCAATTTTACAGATGCTTATTATTCAAAAAGCTAATGCATTCAGAATGTTCAACACGCTGTTGCTGTATGTTTGTGCTGTGAGTGATTTTCTCTTTCTCTCTCTCTCTCTCTCTCTCTCTCTCTCTCTCTCTCTCTCTCTCTCTCGGCATTAATGGTGCTTTGAGATAGGGTTCGGCGCTATGATAGCCTGAAGTTCTGCAGAGATATGAACTGAAACAGACATGCTAATGTCTGATTCCAGCGTGGCGTTCATGTAAACTCTAATTATACAGCGCTTTGACACTAAAAGGTCTTTGAAGATGTTCCAGAAGCAGGAAATACTGTGTTACCATTCATACAGATCCTGGAGGTATGTCTTTAATGTGGATGCCTAGGTTATCTGAGAGTAGTTAGCGTCTCACTAGCAGAAAAATAAAAATAAGCACATTTAATGTGGAAAATAGGATGAAACCCACTCAGAAAAAGCATCTTCGGAATCTAACCCTTGGCAACACTAAAGGATGCCTTGCACCAACCACCTAATTGCAGCGAGGCGTAGCACAGATGTTCTTAGGCTGAGAAAATATTGACAGAGTAAATAATTGCTGCATACAAAAAGCAGCTAATTAAAAAAAAGTTTCAAGTCACAACTTGATGTCAGCCTTTATATCAAATCATAACAAAGCAAGGCATGCATTTTAATTACAGACCTCATCTACACCAGGACAGCTGGTTTACAGAAAAAAAAAAATCATTATGTTTTTTTTAATGAGTTTTGACACTTCCTTTGATATTATGTATATTTATTTTTATCTAATCATAATTGGCAATTACAATTTTCAACCTATCTAATTATTATGCCAGCCTGATCATACATTCATGTCAGAGTCCGAGACTATAAGAAGGGTCATCCTCAAAAGGCTAACGAGAGCGGCAGTAAACGTCGGCCTGGCTTGAGTCAGACTGGATGTAATTAAGTGTTGCACTGTTTTCCCTGGAGTGAGGCCATGTGAGTTGAGTTATTAAAGTATGCAGACTACAGGGGCCCCTTCCTACAGTTTAGGGGGAATAGGAAGCTGTGTTGTTATACAAAGTTACCTGTTCTTTCAAAGTCCCATTTGGAGTTTGCGACAAGTCATATTAGGGACTAATAACTAACTTGTGGAAGAAGGAGCTGTGGTCAGAGACAAAAATGTAGATTTTGACTTGCAGACAAGGTGCAAGGCGTTAAAGAAAACTAACGCATGAAATCATCTCAAGCCCTCAATGCTCATGGTGAAACATGGTGGTGCCAGAAGCATGCTGTGGATATGATTTTCTTTAGCAGGGACCAGGAACCTGGTGAGAAATGATGGGAAAATGAACAGAGTTAAATACAGGGCAATCATAGAGGAAACCTTGTTAGAGCCTGTTCTCTAATGGCAGTAGAGTATATGTATTTATTTTTTGTAAAGTGACAAATTATGAAGTTGTTCAAGGTGTTTGGAAGACTTTTGCATAGCACTGTATCAATTCCGACCAGGAGATTATTGTTCTTGACAGAGAATCGGCATTCTTTCCCAGCCATGTCAGCAATCAAAGTTTAAAGTTGTATCAGATGTATCCCCCCGGCTGGTGTGTGTCAGCCTTCGCTGCCCTCCCCCTGGCCGAATTTCAGAGGTGTCAATGAAAGAACACTGTCAGTCTGCCTGCAGGGACCAAAAGGAACCCTATGCATATGTTGCAGAGACATTCCTGTGGTCCAACTGGATTTTCCCTCAGTCTACACTCCCCTCTTTATACACATGAGCTATCCTTTACAAAGTGATGTAATAGTTACTTGACCTCATGACATATACACCTCAGATAAGCATCTGTCCTTTCGGGGCATTCATAATCTGTAATAATCTGAGTTTTTCAGATTACTTGCCAAGTTCTCTCTTTAGGTTTGCTTCATCTCATTAAACAACTTATAAAACAATAAAATATAGAGGGAATAGCTGATTGTAGCTGTGTTTCTGTTACAAATGTGCAAAGATCTTCGCTTATGCAATAACTTGCTAACGTGAAGAATCCTACTTCTGCTGGTCCATGCGATTATTCATACAAAATAGCAGCAACGGATTTAAGCACATGCAATATATTCAAAGTTCAGCCCCGGTGCTTGCGCTCATTAACTATTAGTCATCAGTGGAGGCAGGGTTGTCTTATTCAGGGGATGGAGCAACAAGCCCTTTATATTCGAAAGCTCCGTTTTGGGGAAATTGTTGTCAGCAATTTTACAGAAGAGCAACAGGCCTAACACTTTAGAATGATACAACTTTTCATGAATTGTGCAGTGTGACACCTCCGCTAGAGACAGCTGCACAAACTAGAGCTCAAACTTTGTGAAGCGACAGAGAATAAATGAAATAGACCTGGGCAGTTCTCACTGTTGAAAGACACTCGTCTGATCACGAGATTCCCACGCTAACTGAAAAATCATCTGCTTCCAATTAAACTGTCAGTTACAAGAACCTTGAAAAAAATAATTGCGCCCATAAAGAAAGAGGCTTTACTAACATGAATCCTGCCTCAACAAGCCTTGACATTGGGAACACTAAGACATTGTCTCCCTCGTCTCTACGGTTGCCTAATTTGTGACCAACTCACAAAATTTGCTTTCTTATTAATATCGGGTACTGAAATTCCATATTTTCAGATTTTTTTTTTTTTTGGTCCAAAAGATGACGTAAAATGATTTCCCTGGAAGACTTTAATACCTCTAACCTGTCATGAGGACTCTTGTTTCCTCATGGACCCATTGACTTACATGCAAGTGTTTTGGGGGTGACAATTAAGAGGTTAATTAGAACTTTGACTTGGTAGTGTTGAATGAAATCAAAGAAAGTTATCTTCAAATTCTGCACTTATGTTTTTAAAAATATCCTACTGCATTACTGTTATGGCCTATATGCATTTGATTTAAAAAAAAAGAAAAAAAAAAAAGTTGTCCTCAATATTATTAAAATTGTTTATATGTGACTGCTGACTGCTGCGACAGGCACGTTAGATAATGGGTAGTCGGGTCTTTGACAAATGAAAATCCGTGACAAAAGCAAAGCCTTGCACACGTCCTCATCGATAGAATTTCATGAAGTCATGTACATGAGATTTGTGCTGTTGTCAATGATTGATCAGATAAACCTCTGAGGCTGTGCTTCCTCCACTGCCCTCTTGTGGTACAAAGATCATTTCAGCTTACTACATCCCTAAAGAAGCCTTTCTATGCTGTACACATTTGGTGCCTGCTGCAACCATGTTTTAAATACTGCATTTTAACTTATGTTTATTCATACCCTCAAAGCTTGAATGTGGTATTGCATTGTTAAAGGTAATGTAGACACTTTTAAATAGGGAACTAAGAGAAGTTCTACTCCTTATTTGTGTCCAAAAATAAATGATCAAAAAAAGAAACATTGGTGATATTACAAGTTTGATTCACGTTGTGTTCCTGAAATCGCACAATGACTTCAAAAAGTTCATAATGCAATAAAAAAAAAGGCTGCTTGAGTTAAATACACATTTTTAAAAAAATGATTTATCAGGACCTTGAATTGCTGTTTGAGATTGCATGAGGATGTCCCAAATCCAGGGTGGTGTTAAAATTGAAACAACAGCCAACTTGTTATTAGTGCAAACATGACCTGAATAGCCCAGTGCTCCAGTGTTGAACTCTTTCTTAGAGGTCTTCTGGGCTTTTGTTGTAATTTCAATGAAGAGTTTCCCCCTTACTTACTTCATTGGTAACCAGGAAGTCTTAGTTCCTGTGCACCTTACTAAGAATAGTCTGTCACAAAGTTCACAAAACCCCGACAGCTCATTGCTGAATCAGAAATAAACTGGTCTATAAAATGATGTATCTAGATCTTTGTTGGACAATTTCGCTCATATGGTCTTATCTTACTTTTTTTTTATCAGTCGTATAAAACCTAAAGAAGATCAACTAATTTATTTATTTATTTATTTTTATTTATTTATTTATTTTTTTGCTTCTTCGTATGTTTTCCAGGCCAGTGATTTTTATGTGGTAGTGCTTTTTTTTTCTTTTTTTTTTGGCTTAAGGCAATTAATCACGTTTTATATTTCTTAAATGCCACTCACTAGCTCTCATAGAAACCAAACTCTCCAAAACAAAGCCTGTTCATCCGTAGGTCTTTTACATCATTCCCTCATCAGCAGCTGGAATCATTTGGGAAAGGCCAGAGTTCTGGTTCTGTCTACTCAGCTAAGTCCTCAGCTAAGTGACATAGATTCTCAGCATCTACGTCATTCTCGGTGCTGATTTCGATAAATGACTCAGTTGAGCTCTGCTATTAGAAATTATTCCAAAGTGGTGATTAAAAGGACCAGCTTTGAGGACATGTTTACAGTTGTATCTATTTTGATAGAATAAGTCTGTTACCAACCTTTGTTCTGTGTCTGAAGCATGAGCATGAGTTCTTTTGGGATATCCTGCCAAGCAAAGCTTCCTAGAGTGTTTTGTTTCTCAAGACTTGTTTCCATACTTGTTTCAATACTTACGTCACTTGACATGGATTTGACTCCAGGTTCCACAGCATTCAGCGGCTGGCCTGCTTCACTGCTGCATGTGTGTTTTTAATATTTGTTTGTGTTTCCCCGTGTCATTTTTTAATAATGTCCAAATTCAGGTAGAAAAGCCACGACTCTCCCTGCTTGCCACGCGTCCGACATCTAAACTGTGAAATCTCTTTGTGTGTTCTACTGATTTTTTGTTGTTACTGATAGTAGCTGAAGGGCTGACTTTATCTTCTTGCACATAATGATGTTTTGTAAAGCGCTTTGGCTCACCATTGTGAGGCTGGCTGGGTTTTACCAAAGCGAAGCACTCCATCTAGTGGATAAAGCCGGCAACAACAACAAAAAAAAGAAAAAAAAAACAAAAAACGTAGAAATAAGAGCTTCAAAACTAACGTTATTGTGTTTGCCTACTTTCAGGATATAAATGTGTGCATTCTAGAGAATTACCCTGAGTGCTCCAATCCTCGAGTTTTCTACATCATCCCCTATTTCTGTGGACAACACCCTAAGTGCAGGTAGATTTACAGCTTTGGGAATCTTTCACTTCAATTCGTTCGACATAAATATATTTGACTGCTCACTTTTACTACTCGGATGTCTCACAGAGAGCCTGGGGTGTGGGCTTTGGAGAGGGCCAAGCAGAATGTGTTGGAGAACTACCTCCTTGTGGGCATCTTGGAGGAGCTGGAGGATGTTCTGCTTATGCTGGAGAGACTCTTACCCCATTACTTTTCTGGAGTACTTGACATTTATAAGAGTCCAGGTTGGTGCAAACTGATAAATGTCATGATGTTTGTTATTCTTAAAATAAGACTAGAGGCAAAGTGCAACAAAATTAGGTGTATGGGAAGTGAGTAAAATACATACTGGAGTCATATGTGACTGTTTAGTTTCAGGAAGCTTACCCATGTTTCCTGAGTAGAGGACCTTGGAGGAAAGTGCATATGCTCACGCCATTCTTTCCTAAATGATGTTCACGACAGATATAAAAATATAAAAAATAATAATAATTTCCTGCTGAAAACAATGGACTGTTGAGTCCTGCTTCACTTTACACCAACATCAGCATCCAGGCATGGTAATTTCATTCATTCATCAAAAATCTGATGAAATTAGCCATTTCAGCATCCTTATTAAATAAAAAAAAAAAAAATACAATTGTTTTGCTAATTAAGCTTGATATGTGTAAACAAAAAAAGTTTTAGCAAGTGGTTTATTAAATGAATCAACTGTATTAACTGACTTTTTTTCCCTTTTTTTTTTTTACCCTTTTCCCTATCAAAGAATATCGAAAAATGGGAAACCTGACTGGCACGGTCAGAAAACATACGCCTACTCTGGAGGCCCTGCAGGTGTTGTATCACCGCATGCGCTACGAGTACGAGTTCTACGACTTCATCCGTGATCAGTTTCACCTTATGAAGAAGAAAATTGGCCTGAGATCCACCTCTCGCCCGCCTGTCTACCCGCCTGATTTCTTGCGCGAGCTGGCCCTTCGAACACCTGAACCTTTAGATGAAGATGAGGAGCTAGACTCGGACCTGGAGGATGCCAACAGCTGGCTGGTTCATCCCTGAGGACTGTGTAAACAGTGGATAAAGCCAAACAATAGAGTCGACTAAAACTGGCTAAGGAAAAGCAGGAGGCAGCCAGAGGAATAGTGGCAGCATGTGCCATCTTTTGGATGTTGGCACCTTTACTTTGGAGAGTTCGGTTTTTCCGTCTTCAAGCTCTTATTATGAAAGGCCCAGCACTTTGGACTTAAGCAACTGAAAGAAACAAAAATTATCTATTTAAAAACTGGACAAGGACAGATGGGAATAACTACAGGCTCAAATTATTTCATGATCGGTTTTACTGGAGCTTGTTATGAGGATTTTATGATCTCAAATGCTATAATCTCCAGGAGAGATTAGCGGACAATTTAATGTGTTGGGATATACACTAAATGTTGAAGAGGACTTCAGAGACATTTCCAATCAGACTTTTATTTTATAAAAGTGCTGATTTAATTAAAAAAAATGACTTGGAGGGTGGGGAGGGAGTGCCAAAAGTATTGTATGTATATTAGCTGTCCAGGACTGTTATAAGTGCCAAATCTCATTAGGATTTCCAGTAACTGTGAGACAGGAAGCTTTGGGATCACAGTTGGTAACAGTTGCATTAAGTTAAGTCAGTTGTTATAAGATGTTTATAACATTTTAAGGAATTGTCAAATGTTACAAGGTATGAATGAGGGTTAAACCATACACATCTATTATGAATTCAGAGAATTCCACCTAGATGTACATGAATGACTGAGTTTGACCTCGCCAACAGAGTAATTTAGAGTAGTTTTGTTATTTGGGAAATACAATTCTTTGGCAGTATGTCAGCGGTTTGAGTCGCATGCTAAAAGCATTAGGGAGCCTCATTTGTAATCCAAAGGTGAAAAGAAATCAGAGATAACCAAATAACAGTGTTCTGCTGTGATGCTTTTTTTTAAATCTGTATAAATATCCTGCAGGGTTTTTTTGTGTGTGTGTGTGTGTGAAATAATGCTTTGTGAACATCTGCAGCAAAATGAGGGATTTGATCAAAACTGGATAACATTTTGCCTTTTATTTTGACTCGGTTATGTAGTGGTGAATGATATTTGCTTGCAAGGCATGGAAGTGTTTGTGTGCTCTTTTGTGTTTTAGAGAGTACTGAATTCTTAAAGTGGCGTTCTTTAAAAGATTATAAGCAGTTAATATCTCACCCACAGTAAAAACTCTCTATATATCTTAATTTAGCGTTTTCTGGATTTCCTGTTACTACAGGCAAAGGCTAATGGCTAAGCAGAACTGGTCAGGCACCAAAGGATTTTACGGCAACTGAAATCTCAACTGAATTTTTAGATCACCTGAGAAACCTTCAACTTTCTTTAGGTTTGCTTGGCTTTTGTTATTTACAGAGGAGTCGATTTAATGAAGCTCAGAGATGTTGCATCACCAATAATGTTCCTGTATCAAACAAGTACTTAGATCAGAGATGGTCACATTTCCAGACAACATGCATGAAAGAAAATGTAATGCAAATCAATTAAAATGTCTGATTTGCAAACTTTATTTTTCTATAAGGTTGTGACAGATGTTTCACACAGGTAAATATTATTGGTGCTTCAGCTCTTATACTAACTATTTTGTTTATAGTAAATAAAGACACCCACCAAAGGCTGTTAACTGCTTAGGATCTTTGAAAAGAGCCACATTAAAAAAATAAAAATAAAAAATCTGAACTTGAGTTATCTGTTTAAGTCAGCTCACAGTAACTTTTTTTTATTTTTATTTTTTTTTTATCATTTTGCAATAGCTACTGGTAGAAGTAGTATAAAATCCACATAGCCATAAGCTAACATGTCAACTACAGACTTAACCTACTCCTCATAACTCCCATCACCTGTCCTCTTGGTATTGTTGCATTTATGTTTTAAGTGTTTTATTTCATATCGATTTAATTTATTATTTTGTAATCATTTGCATTCAAGATAAAATTCTCAGGAAGGAAAACAGTGTTTAGTGTGTATCATGTCTCTCAAAGTGATGAGACTGTACATGCCATTTCAATGTGTCTACAGGGGAAAACTGGTTCGTAATAAATTTGTTTCATCATTTAAGGCCTTTGAGATAAATGCCCTTTGAATTTGCAGCTTTTTTTTTTCTGCTAAGGATATATTTTTGCAAACATGATTTTTTTTTGTTGTTGTGGCTATCCTGCTCTGATTGCTCCGCCTTATCTCATTTTATCAAAGCTCTATACAGGTCTCTTTTCCACAAAGAAGGAAGAACTTATACCATAATGCCACTTCCTGTTATTTTCTTTCTTAAAACATCTTTTTTTTTTTCAGTAGACATCCTTTTATACCGATGCTTTAGACTTTATGAAGGGACCTTTTATGACTGTGAGTTTAATGTATAAACAGATAATACTGTTCTATGAGTCAGATCCAGTGTTAAAGAAAAAAAAAGTGTTGAACCTGTAAAATGCTGTGAAGATAAAAAAAAAATATCAGATTTGAGGGAAAGATCCGAAGCTGTTAATGAAAAGGCACACAATTTCTGTCACAGTCTGAATATGGAGTCTGATATAAAAGATTGAAACAGCTTGCTTGATGGGATAGGCCTTAAAGGGGAGAAAGAAAAGTGTTGTCCCAACCCACTGTTCTTCAGTTTATTTAGATCAGGGAATGATGTGTTGCTGTTGAAGATATTTTTTGCCTGTTTCATGTTGTCCGTCAGGTTCTTTTTTGGCGATTTCCTGATTCCACAGAACCGGCAGTAATAAGGAATGCGCGTGGCTAGTGGAATTTAACATTTTCTTGTTTTTATGCTTTTTCCGTTTCCTGTTCCAGTACAGTGTAATTTCTGTATGCTGCGTTAATTTCCATCAGTGGACAGAAGGAGCGGTTAGCATTTAAGCCCCAACTGTAGCAGACGTCTTTAAATTTTTCCATCCACACAAATGTAAGCACTGGTACGGACTTTTCAGGTGATCCATGTGCAGTTTTCCACTCGGAGGCTGAATACAAAGATTTACTTCATGTGAAAGGTGGTGCAGAGAGAGTGACCTTTCCGCTACTGCTGCAGTTGAACTTCGTCTGCTGCAACAAACAGGAGACACAGTAGGTGAGATGATCACAAAAGAGTATAAACTAATTATTTCACCAAATAGCTGTGTCTCTTTACTTCTTTTTTGTTCTAGCAGAAGACATTGAAATAAGCTGTGGATGTGGTATTTACAAAACAGTCTTTATTTAGATTTATTTTTCTCTTCTCGATACCATTGTAAAATATGTTCCCCAAAGCAGAAACATAAATAAAATTGAACAACAAATCGACGACAGGCATGAGGAGGAATATATCCTTGGTGTATTTCTCTTTTACGATAAAAACAATGGCAATGAAGCCATTTGTGATGTTTGTAGATCTGACTTCTGAGCACCAATGCTTCAATTTCATAATTTACCTCCCTAATGCTCTGTACGGCTATAGGAAGCCATACATCACCTCAACACGGCAGTTTGTTCCTGGATTTGGTCCAAACATCTGGAGATTATATCCTGGCTCCTGAACACAGTAATGACGTGCATATCCTTGAGTATGTCAGGCATACAGATTGCAAACAGAAATACCAGCATGAGAAAAACTGAACCAAAGTTCTCAACAACAGATTAAACTAGAAAACATACCCACATGTACAACTCGTAAACCTGTCGGAGGGATCAAGGCCAAGGAAGTAATGAGTCAAACTGATGTTAAACTGTAATACTTTTAAATTGTTCACAGTAGTCTGAATGCCCTGAGATTAATTAGTTAAAAAAAAGGCACTTTTCCTATTATGATACATTCCACAGTGCAAACAGGCTAAACTATATCTCAAATAACTTACTTGTACAGCAATTAGTCCATTTTGTTTTAACTTAAATAATTACAATAAATGTAATTCTGCAGGCATCTCTATCCGTCCAACCATTGTAGTCTTTAAAAATCAGCGTCAAGTACAAAAATAATACTAAAATTGTTCTGACCCTTTAAGTATTATTCGTTTTCCTGTGGTCTCAGAATATGTACTTAAAATTCACACATCCACACTGTTTCATTGATCAAACATTGACCCAGTATTTAAGCAGAAGACGTTGAGTTGTAAAGTCCTCAGGGCCCCATTTTGTACTGAATTGTTGGTCAAACAAAAATGTCCACAAAAAAACAAACCTTAGCTACAATGATTTGATGAAAGCTTTTTTTTTTTTTTTTCCACCAGTACAGTAAACCAGTGACGGCTTGTTTGTCTCTCATTCTTCAGTTCTTTTCCTCCTGTGGCCTGGTTTCCCAGCAGCGTGAAATCTCAGGCCTTAGCTTCATGTTGGTTTAGCTCCATCCCATCCCCGGCATCTTTGTTGCCAGGGCTTGAATTCTTCTTTCTGGGGTTGCTTCCAAGAGATTCAGCCTCTTCCAAAGTGGTGGGGAGAGGTTCGCCCAAGGTTTCGGGTAAGAGCAAAGTAAGCACTCCAATTGCGAATGCCAGGATTCCTACAATGAGCTGAAAAAAAGATGGTAAAAGTATATCTTTTGTTGAAAAAGCATATAAAATGAGATTATTGTGACAAGAGGGACACAGACTATGATGCATTTAAATTACACTTCAACAACACCTGCTAACAAATTTCCTTAACAGGATGCTGAGCTCTGTGAAAGCAACATTTGGTTTTATTAACAGATAAAGGCAAACAGGTTTTTAAAAACGGTTCTGCCTTCCTGATGTTTCCTAATTATGTTAATGGAGTTAATTAAAGACATATGCATCCTTGTGGAATCTGTAATAGTCACTTGGATTTGGTGCAAAAAGATGTAAATGAAAAAGGAAACAGAACTCTTTTGCTAGAATGTTAAGCATTCTGACTTGTCTGAAGTGCTTGCAAAAAAAAAGAAAAAGAAAAAAGAAAAGGTCATACCTGAGGTAGATAGACCCAGACTTCAACCAGGTAAACACAAAAAGGAGCCACAATACTGCCAACACGACACATCATGCTGCCGCTACCTACTGCCAGGGTCCTGCAGAGGGAGCATCCACGCACAATGGATTAAAATATTTAACTCATTCCAGAAGGACCAAATCAAGACAACAGCATTGCCATTGGTGCCATCCTTATTGACCGCCAGCAAAAATGTATGAGCATCATTGATTGCAGCAATTTTCGTAGAGTTATGGAACCTGAATAAGAGATCTTTCCTAAATTTGCAAGGTGTTTCTATGAGGAAATAGCTGTAAAAGGAAGCCATATATTGTCATATGTTTTGTGTATGTTAGAATTTTTTTGTTTTGGGTTTTTTTTCCCTCACCTGATGACAGTAGGGTAAAGCTCGCAGGTGTACAGGTAGATGAGGCCAAAGGCAATCGCCACAGCAAACTTTCCAATCATACTAAGAGCAATGGCCAGAGAATCTATTTCCTAAAGGTCAGGTTAGGTAAAGTTTGTTGATAGGAGACAAAAAAAAAAATGGAAAAAGACTGTAAGAAACAAGTGACATATTCATAATCTCACATTATAAACAAAGACTTTAGCTTGCTATATTACATGCAACTTTTTTTATTTCTTAGAATAAAGCTAGACTTTTGAACTTACAGACTCACTGATTGACCAACATAATTCATCTCAACATGCAAGAGGGGTTTGAAAATCACTTATTATGTGATCTATGGCAACATGAGTTTCTATTTGTAGGCTCTCGCATTACAAATAGGTGAAGGTTCAGACTACAAGTGATTTATTTGCAATGAAAGCTGACCACAATATTGAGCAATGCTGACCAAAGTTTTCCTGCTCTGCTTTTTAGAAGTGATTAAAGCATCAATGTAGACTATTGATATCTCTAATTTACACAATAATGCTGTTTTGCTTGGCATAAATAAATCAACATTTATTCTTTTTACTTTTTTGTAAAGATTGTTTATTCATCTGGATACTTATTAGGCATAGAAATCAAAATGTAATTTCACTTACTTTAAAGAACTTTTTTTTTTCTAATCTGTTTTTAACCAGGTATTTGCTTAGAAAATGTACTAAGCAAACTAGCAATATAATAGTGTTCTGGATCATGATATTAATTTCTCCACTCTATTTGGAAGAATCTAAAATGAGGTGCTGTTTAAAAAAAAAAACTGAATTGTTTTATGCATACATCCTGAATGCACATGGGTGTTTAAAGTGTAAACACTAATTAGCCAATGATGTTTTGAGAAACATCTTACTATTGAGTTCAGGCTTTTTGCAGAAAGAAATGAAGCTATGTAACTGGCTTTAGCTGTCTGTAGGCATAAAACAAAAAACTACAGACTAAAAGCAAAAATAAATTGCACTGCATTGGCCTCATTGCACCAATGTGTGCTGCTGTGCAAAAATATGTTTTTGGGAACTGAGCTGAGTAATTGTATCTCCTTTAGTCTGATGCAACATGCAGACACAATTGAAAACGCTGGCAGAGGATTGTATGATTTAATGCTGCCAAATGTTTTTTTTTTTTTTTTTTTTTTTTTCTGTCCGCCCTGAATTCAGTAAAGCTAAATTTGGGTTGTATTGATGTGGTGAACAAACAGTCACTTTATCTAGCATATGTGGTGTTGGTGCTGTAACATGCTACACACTGAGCTGTTTACAGTAAAGCAGTCTTCTCCAGTAATCTTATTTCTGTCAAAGAGGTCACTTGTGAAAGGTGGGAGTGTTTCTCCAAATTTCCCCTAAAAGTCTAAACATAGTGCTAACTATGTCGCAAAAGCCATTGGTTGAAATTTTCAGTTTAAAAACATACAAGTGGTTTTTGTGAAACCACTTAGAACAGATCATATGTTAGACTTTACACCTCTCTGCTGTGTCTGCACTGTCAGTAAAAGCACACATAGTAGCCAAGGTAATGCAGCTCTTCTTTTTGTATAGTTTTCACAGTTGTGTTGTCTAACCTTAGCGGTTTAGCTCATTAATTGGCGTTTTTGCAGCCTTTAATTTTTTCTCCTTAATACATCAGACAAAATGTGGAAAAAGTGGCATAGATCTGCCTGATTTCCAGCTTGATCAACCTGACAAATGTCTGTCATTGGAAACTCCAAAGAGAGACAGAGTAGGATTTTCA